GACTTGGTTGATTGGTCGAGCCGGCGCTTTACAGAAACGAGCAGTGTGCCCCTTCCTGTCGCAGTTGTTACAGTGCATCTCCCTACAAGCACCATTGTGGTGAAAGTTGCACTTGTTGCACTTGGGTAGGGTTCCAGCATATGGCTTCGGTGGTGCAGTAGTGGCAGCATGGACAGCAACAGTTTGTTGCTTCTTAGCGGGGTCCTGTGCTGGTTGGCTCTTCTTTTGGTTCCAGAACTTCCTTTTGTTGTTTCCCCCTTTTTGATTGATCAGTGGTGGTGGTTGTAGTATTATGACCGGCTCGGTGGTCAACAAGTTGTTGTGCCAGCTCCCTGGCACTGTCAAAAGTAGTTGGCCTTGAAGCCAGGACACTACTTTGCACTTGGGGAGACAGTCCCCAAAGGTATCGCTCCACCTTTTTCTCCTCCGGAGTAACCATTGTTGGGCAGAGGAGAGCCAATTCATTGAATCGGGTGGTGTAGGTTTCAAGGTCGGAGCCCGTCATCCTGAGGTTCCAAAGTTCTTGTTCCAGCTTTTGAATTTCACCTCTCGGGCAGTACTCCTTCATCATCAAGGTTTTTAGTTCTGCCCAGGATGGAGCTAGCCACTTCGAGAGTAAGTGAATTAATCCGACAGTTCCACCAAGTAAGGGCCCGGCCGGTGAAAGTGAAGGCTGCGAACTTAACTTTGCTCGCTTCGGGGCAAGAGCACACTTGAAAGACTACTTCGGTCTTTTCAAACCATTGCATTAAAGTGATGACTCCCCCGCTCCCATTGAAGTTGTCGGGTTTGCCATTGGTGAAGTCTTTGTAGGAACACTCTCTTGCACGCCACGTACTGTCTCCGTGGTTAGAGTTTGTAGCACCCGATCCAGAACCACCAGCTCCGTTTGTCCCTATCTGCGATATTGCGGCCGCTACGGCTGCTGTTACTGCAGCCTGGAACATCGCAGGATCAAACTGTGGAGGCAGCGGCGGAGGAGGTGTTGCTGTGTTGCCGGAAGGTCTTGGTCTTCTCCTTGGCGGCATGGTTCTGTCATAAGTCGTAAACCAATGTACTTTTAGTAAAAGTATATTTATAGAAAGAGAATCTTTTATACATAAAGTATATTATTACGTTGTTTTCCGGTATGTTTACGATACATACGATTTTATACTTTTAATTGACCCAATACATTGGGTTATGAGGTAAAATGAAAGTATAAAATATTTTATTTGAGTTTCCATGTTTCCAAGTATATGACTGTTTGTAAAAGTTTCACATATACTAATTTAGTCGGGACATAATTAATATATTATATTTTAAAATGATCTTTATCGGTTACTTAATTAGTTGCAAAGTGCATACCAGTCATATGTGATTAAGATATAATAGTCCTTCGAATAGATGACCCTAACTCCAAGACCACAACCAAACAAGGACAGGAAGTGAAACAAAGATACATAAATTCTAAGTCTATAGCATCTTAGTTACATATGACCTTAGCGCATCCACTTAGCAGCTATTGATCTATAAATAAAGACCTATTTAATTCTCAGATAATTTATTATAGTAACACAAAATACTCCTATAGTATTTGTAAATGTTTAGTTTTGAGTTCTTAAAGTATCCTTTGTAGTGTGTTATTAGGTTTGTTAGATTTGTTGCCCATCCTGACCATCCCCCGGTATATGCAAGTCAATTCCCGGACAGATATAGTTGATCAGGCTATATCCTTCCCAGATTTAATCCACATATACTAAGGCATACTCAAAATGTTCAACTCTTCTTCTTTTGCTTTATGTTTTCGCTAGTTATGATACCATGCGAGCATGTAATGTATGTATGTATACTTTAATCAAGAAAATCATTTATTTTCTAAGAGTATATTTATTTGAAAAATGCACAAATCAGAGACTATTAGTCCCAATTGTGTTTATAGTTTGTATATCTTATGTGGTTTGATATACTTAATTCACTATAAACTGTGCTCTGATACCAATCTGTCACACCCCCAAACCAAGGATGGCGGAAACGTCCGGGGGTGGAGGACTTCATGTATAGTATCATAACAACAATTGTAATAGTAATTGAAGCAAACACAACAACACACAACCAACATATATATATATATATATATATATATAATTGAAAAAGTGACATCATTGTATGAATTACATGTTTACGAATCAATTACAATATGTTGACAAAATATGAAATAGTAGACGCCTTAGCGCCCCATCCTCAAAAGCACTTGGTTACCTGTTTAATGATTTCCTGAGAATACAAGTTGTTTGAAAAAGTGTCAACACAAAGGTTGGTGAGTTCATAAGCTTTTGTTTGGTATTATTAAAAGCCTTTCGTTTGTAAAAGTAGTATTTGTGTTAGAAAATCCAATATTTTCCTTAATGTGTAAATGTAGTCTTAAAACCCAAAGACCGAAATGTACAAGTAATTTGTCATATTTATAGTAAAACAATGCAAGTTTAAATCGACATAAACTCGTTAAATTTTAATGAAGTTCCCGTAAATTCCAATGTTTATTAATACTTTATGTGAGTTTATTATAACCATACTATGACCAAGGTTGCCTAAAACGACGTTCTTCAGGCGTCGGAAATGTTATGACATTTGTCACCCCAGACCTATCGGTCTAACTGTTGCATGCAGTTTAGGTGTGGGTTTGTCAAACCCAATATAGATCTATACACAACTATCACGCTCTCCCTCAAGGAGACTCTGGTTACAATACAGGACTTAATGGTAATTTGAAGTAAATGTCTCACAAAGTCATTAACGGAATTACGTGTTATGAAAACTTGGTACCGTATGGCCGTACCTTGCTTAATGAAAATATCCTTTGTATAAATGTACCCTTTTTAAATGTATGTGTTATGTAATGTATCATAAACTATACCTATTATAGTTTATCAACCAAGGGTAGTACGTAGTAATGTATGCAAACTATATTCAAAATAGTTTATTAAATGTTTGAATGTATCGGTTGTACTTTGATTATAATCACTTGTTATTCTTTATATTTTATATGTCCAAATCCATTTGTAAACTGATGTGTGTCTAAATATTAAGATAAAATGTCATATATTGCAATAACATATAATCACATAAAGATATACACCTTGCTCAACATGTTACAAGGTGAAATGAAATTGACAGCAACTTTTTGTTGAATACAGTTTCTGTTACTGTTCTTAGAAAATTTATAGAAAAATCATCAAAGCTCTAAATCCAAATCCGCAAATTCTGAGAGTTTGGAATATGAGTCCAGTTTGTTTGTAAATTTTATCATGATTTTTAGTGATCTCTAACAGAGGTGAAAATGTTCATAATCACAGACTGGTCCGGGTTTGCCTCTGAAATGACAGGCAGTTTTGTAAAAATCACCATAAATTGTAGAAAAATCATATGGAGATGTGCAAGTAGCCATTTTAAAGCTAAGAGTTTGAACTACTTGCACCTGGAACAGTTTTGAAAACTAAAATATTTAAGTTGACCAAAACAGTCTGTGATTAAAGTCCATCTTTTCTGATGTAATCTGTTAGAAAAAGTTTAATTGTGTTCTTGATGATTTACTTGTATTCCCCCCTTAAAACTTAAGAAAAACATGTAAATGTAGGGGTATGAACTCACCTTATGTGGTTTCAGTAGATGAAAGTGAGAGAGAGGAAGTATTCAACCCAAGAACACTAAGAAGATGTCTTGATGATTCGAGAATCTAACACCGAATAAGATGGAATTTGTGTAAGATATCAATGATTTGAGTAGAATGGAGTGTAATAATTATATGAATGATGAAGATACTTACTAATTGAAGAAAGAAATCCCTGAGAAAGCCTTGAAGTTCTTGAAGTTGAGAGAAAAGATGAGAGAATTTTGGAGAGTGTCCTTTGGTTGCTAAGTGTAGAATGAAAGAACTTTATGGAGAATGAGGAGAGAGGATCAATCCTCCAGCTCTTAGAACGTGGGAAGAGCTGGAGATTGGGTGTAAAGGTCCACTAAGGAGACAAGGGGTAGTGGGAAAGAGTGGCTGATCATAGAGTGAGGTGGTGGTGGTTTGCTTTTGCCATAAATTAAGGAAAAGCAAATATTCCCTCAATAATTAGTTCAACCACTAATTCTTTTAATATATTTTTATAAAAACCCTGGAGATTTATATATTTTGGGGCCTTAGTTTATAAAATAAAGTTTTGGGTGAAAATCCCACGTTAAAATAATGAAAAACGGAGTTAAAACGAAGTCGTAGTCGAAAAACCGGTAAAAAGGGGCCGTCTGCGAGACCTCTCGCATGGGCTGTCTGAGAGGCTTCTCATGCGAGGCTTCTGTCCTGAGAGGCTTCGGTCCTGAGAGGCTTCTCATGAGAGACTTCGGTCCTGAGAGGCTTCGGTCCTGAGAGGCTTCGGTCCTGAGAGGCTTCTCATGAGAGTTTTCGCTTCTAATAGGAGGGTTTTGGTTCCTTAAGGTTATTTTACTCGTTTTTACCCCGTTTCAAGTGGTTTTTGACCCGGTTAAGGGTCGGGATGGCCCGAATGATTACAAAAAGTTAAAGTAACTTTTGAGAGAGATTTGGGAGAGATTTAGGAGAGATTTGGGAGAGATTTCAAATAGAAAGAGATAGAGTGAAAACAATTTAGAGAGGTTTCGTTTGTGATTAATTTGAGTGTCCGGCTTCACAACGCAAGGTTCGTAAACCCCGTTAAACCGTGTTTTAGTGTCATACACACTCCCGATGAGTGTGCAATAATGTTTTATCGTTTTGGTTCAAGTTTACTTAGGAATTCAACACACGAACTTTCCAAATGATGTTTCTCTCATTAGATATTGCATTGTACAGTAATTACATAGTGTAAACCCTAATATACAAGGGTAAATTGAGTCAATTGGTTTTGACTTGTTGACTTTGTTTGACTTTAACTTGACTCAATTTTGACGGTTGTCACAGTGAAGGTGCGCAGTGGCTCCCGAGTCCATGTACCATCCATTATCGTTAGGTTCGTTGAGGTTCATAGTGTTGAACATTTTGTGGGCAATGCAGTCGCTTGATCAGGTTGCATTATTTTTGGAACCATTCCAAGGAGGTTGATCGGTTGATGAGAAGCTGAAAACGCAGCCTGAGGCGCTGTTGGTTGAATGGGCCGGAACTGCATCTGGGCTAAGGGAGCAGGAAATTGAGCCGACATCTGATGTGGGAGCGGAAGCAAGCCAGCGGAACTGTTGGTTGGAGGCCCAGTTCGCTGCTGAGATGCTGCTGGTAAGGGATACCAGCCAAAACCCCAACCATGTGGAGCATGCGGCTGATTTCTGGGAGTGTAGGAGTTACCACGACCACCACCATGGTTGTTTCTTCCGCCACGTCCGTTTCGACCACCATTACGACCACCTCGAAAGTTGTTGCCACGAAAATCACGAGTATTGTGGTTATTGTTTGCATGTTCAACATTAAGAATTGTAGGAGATGAAGAGTTATCGTGATGAGTGCTTGTAACAGACCTGTTTTGAATTTGATTCATAGTTTGCTCTTCGAGAGCCAAGATGGATCGGGTTTCCAGCAACGTAGGAAACAGGGTGCGATGACGGAGGATGCTAGAAATATGATCAAAGCGAGGATTGATACCATTAATAGCATAGTTTACCAGATTCTTTTCAGGGACAGCAGCTTCAATATTCTCCAGCAAATCAGCAAGATTCTTTATCCGGGTACAGTAAGCATTGATCGTGGAATCGCCTTGCGTGATATTACGTAGTTCTTGATTAAGTTGCATTGCTCTTGCATCTTTGTTGTCACGAAATAGATTTTCCAAAGAGTCCCATAAGTCAAACGCACTCTGCTTCTTCTTGTGTACAGATTGAGTCAAGCTTTGAGTGATTGTACCAAAGATCCACATTTTAACAAGAGCATCAACACGATCCCACTGTTTCTTATCAGCAGCGATAATCTTATCATCCGGAGGACCGAGATGTTCGGCTACACCAAAAGCAATGCAGTGAGTTTCAAACACGTCGCGCCAAGCATCATAATTCATACGTTCAATATCAAGAGTGAACGGAATGTATGCTTTGATGTTCGTAATTCCATAGGGTTTATCAGAGGAGTGAGGAGTCGATGATGAAGAAGACGACACTATTGAATAGCCGTGAAGAAAGGGAGAACAGAATGAGAAGAGGAGCTGTCGACAACAGGAAGAAGATGTCGACGGCTAGGTTTAAGATCGACAGAAAAAAGTAGAGGAAATTGACTGCTCTGATACCATGTAATTTGGTAAGTTTTCCCGTAACCCTTCTCATTCATTGATAAAATATATATACAGAAAATACAATAAAGGGGCCACACATTATGGGCCAGAATAATATACACGGCTATACACAATAAAGATAAATAATGATTAATAAATGGAGACCCACTAACAAGTATTACATGGTGTAATGTATAAGTTACCTTTCCAACGGTCCTATGTATATATCATCAAGACGAAATTCTTAATATTTATTAATAATAGCTTCATAAACACAGGCAAAAGCAATAAACTTAAAAATAAGAATTACCTTATAACCCTCCCAAAGTTGTTTTGCATGAAAGCCACGCAATGTTAGACAACAAAGCTCCCTTGATGCAAAATTTTCTGGCATTAATGGATGTGTGGTCTCATCCGATCCATCTTCTAGCAGTTCAAAGTTCAAACTTATCCACCGAAGTTTTTTCATGTTTGCAGCGACCTGAAGAACACGTGTATCATCACTCCTTAAATGGTGACCACATATAGCTTCAATCTTGTCAAGTTCCTGTGATAGAACAAAATGGTGTCAGGATCAAGTTCAAAGTGTTTCTTTATATATTATATATATATATATATATATATATATATATATATATATATATATATATTATATAATGAAGTAAGTTCAATTAAAAACAGTAAATAGTGTGAGAACGTAAAAACACTATGTTTATGTTATTATTCTGTAATGAATTTTGTATATGTGTATTGTTGAAGTAATTCTAATATAAATATTAACTTTCGATTAGTCATATATTCATTACGATGTTATTATTCTATTATAAACTTATGTATGGTGCATTTTTGTAGTAAATTCTAATTTTAATTTTAACCTTTGACTATTCATTTATTCTTTGCTGAATAATGGCATAAAGTTGTCGATACAAAATTCATTGCAGAATAATAACATAAAAAGTGTTTTTACGTTCTCACACTATTTACTGTTTTTATTTGAACTGTCCCCTATATATATTATATAATAGATATAATATATAGATATATATATATTATAGATATATATATATTATATATATATATATAGGGCTAGGTTATTTTGTTTCTTACATTTATTGTGTGCTAGAATGCACCAATAGGAATTTTGTAAATTAAATAATTATTTAATTAAATAAATATAGATATTAAATGATTTCCATAATTATATGTATATTAAATGACATCCATAATTATAATTCTCTTTTTATGGAAACTAATTAAATCCGTCATTAATGTCAGCAATAACATTCTTTTAGAATGAATTCCATCTAGGTTTTTATATATGAGTTCGTATTTTGTTTCAGGACTCACTCACTTAAAATACAATAAAGTTGCATGGAATATGAAGAACGAGAGTGTATTCTACTCGAATACACTTTCATTCTTCTAGATATGAATTTTTTCTGAAAGAATATTATTGTTGACATTAATGACGAATTTAATTAGTTTCCATAAAAATGAGTTATAAATATGGATAACATTTACTATATATATAATTAATACTAAATTCCTGTTGGTGCATTCTAGCACACAATAGATGTGAGAAACATTTGAACCTACCTCTCTCTCTCTCTCTCTCTCTATATATAGATATATATATATATATATATATATATAATATATATATATATATATATATATATATATATATATATATATCATGAAAAGCTAGCTTAATCACTACCATCGTTGCATCCATTGCACATAGTGTCAGAACATCTTCTGCCTTCCAAATCCTACTAATTTTTTCAGGGTTCTTAGGGTGTTCCCCTCCAACAATATAGTGTGCCAACTCTTGTACCAAATCATGCATATCAAATGTTCCATCCTCATAAATAGTTATGAGAGCCTTTTGTACCAACACCTTTATGCCTATAACAGGGTGAAAGCCACAAGCATCTAGTATCAACATTGCACGTTAAATTTTAAACCACTTTTTGAAGAAACATGCAATATCAAGGAACAACTCTTTCTCAATCGGTTTAAGTCCATCAAAGCTGATTTTTAGCACTTCGAGAATACTAGCATCTGGTATTTCTTTCAATCTAGCCAAGGCACTCCTCCACTCATTCATCTCTTTGTCACATAGAAAACGACCCAGAACTCTAAGTGCTAATGGGAGCCTACCAGCATATGAAACCACATCTTTTGAAAGCTGCTCATAATCTTCTATAGTTTTGTGACCCCGGGGTGCATGCTTGCAAAAGAGCTTCATAGACTCATCATTGTTTAATAAACTAATATTGTGTATCACATCTACTTTGTGTCCAGTTAATACATGCTCATCTCTAGTGGTGATTATTACTCGGCTTCCTTCACCAAACCAATCACGTGATCCAGCTAACTCTTCTAGGTGCTCAAGGTTGTCGACATCATCAAGAACAATGAGGACCTTTCTATGTTGTAACCTATCCTTTATCATGCGTCTTCCTTCTTCGACTCTCTTTAACTTCAACTGCTTTAGTTTCAAAACACCACAAAGAATTTCTGCTTGCAGCTTTGTTAAACCATTCTTATTACTCGATTCCTCCTGAATATTTTTTAGAAAGCAGCAACCATCAAACTTGCTAGATATTTTATCATATATACATGAGGCAAGAGTAGTCTTACCACCACCCCAAACCCCCCATATTCCAATCATTCTCTTACCACCAAACCCAATTTGTAACTTTGATATCAAACCTTGCATAGGAGCCTCTACTCCAACCAGGTTGTCATCCACACTTGAAGTACTTATCAGACGTAACCTATGTGAAATTGTGTAAACAACTGTTTCAATGCACTTTGACTCATGCCTGCAAATTAAATATATAAGGATCATTAACACATGCTCAAATTGACAAACAGCCTCGTCATAAACTATTACCCGAGAGAATTGTCTATTTTGCGAGTTCTTAGCAAATGTTAATATCAAGTAGCAATAATTATTATTTGTCGCTAATCAAGTTATCCACTCAAAGCCTCTGGTTATCAATTAAGGCTATCAACATCATCAAGAATAACTAAAACATTTGTATTACAACCTACTTATCAACGTGCGTCATCTTTCTTCAGATCATACTTGTTGGATCCCATCTAAAATACAGATATTGTAATTGGATTATTTCGTGGCACAATTATAATCACTTACAACATCGTAAATGACTCTTTTTTTTTTCTAAAAATATGTATTTTATAATCAAGAATTTGGCTTAATCCTTTAAAAGCTTATAAGGTATAAGGATAAATGTCTTGTTGTAGAGCACATGTATCTTAAGCATTAAAAATGCACAAAAAAAGATGAAAGTTACCCGTTGGCAATGTGCTTAGGTTCCCATCCAGAAAGGTTACTTGCATCCACAAGTGCTTTTCTCCAAGATTCAACCTTGGTGTTCTTCTCCAACTCATGTTTAGTAAATGCTTCTCCATATTTCCCCTTTTGTTTTCACACTTCAGAGGGATCCACATCATAAAATATGGGCATAACGATTTGGTCTCTCGTGTCCTTGCATTTCATGATATGTCAAAGTTCATCTAAGCACCATGAAGAATCTGCGTAGTTTTTAGAAAATATGATGATGGCTATCTGTGATTCTTCGATAGCCATCACAAGAGATGGGCCAATTGATTCGCCCCGGGGAAGTGTTTCATCGTCTTTGTAAGTGTAGATCCCTTGTTGTTCAAGAGCTGTGTAGAGATGACCTACAAAAGTCTTACGAGTATCTTCTCCTCTAAAACTAAGAAAAACATGGTACTTCCACACCTCAGAAGAAAAGACCAGAGCTAAAGAAGACGATGATGGTAAAGATGCCATCGATCAGTTAATTTGTTTGAGATTGAATGTATGTTATTTGAGCACCTGCACCTCAATGAAATGACCCATATATATATATATATATATATATATTAATATATATATATATATATATATATATATATATATATATATATATTATATATATATTGAGAGAGAGAGGGAGATAGATGTGAGTTTACAAGAAATTTTTAATTTACTAAATGCCCGAGAAAAACTTGACATTTTCAATAAATTGAGGTGTTTTCACATTGAAGTTGTCATTATTAAACTCATGTTTTTTGAACAAAATACGGAGGAAACTTTTTGGAAGGGAAATTTTTCACCGAAAGCAAGAGCCAACTGAACCTTATTGTTAAAATTATATCATACTTTTTTTGAAAATTAAATATATGATATTACTTTTTAACAAAATAGAAAGAAATATACAAATTTAAAATTTCTTTAAGTATGCAATAAAAGAGTATCTTGTTTTACCAGATGTTAGGTGACTTGTTCTCCCATTAGACATCTTTAAATTTGCATTTTAAAGAAGATAGAAATATGAGAATACATTAACAAAAAGACAAATGTCTCCCCTGGATGACCCCACCAACCATATATACTACGATTACTAGTGACATAAATCATGAGGTCACCAAAATTAAATATAGAACCTAACAAACTGATTCTCACCTACTTACCGTTAATTAAAACATAAGGCTGGAGGGAGTGGTGCCACCGAAACCGCACTCCCTCCTATGCCACGTAGACGCCAACTCAGATTTTTTCTTATTTCATCAACTAGAAACCGCAATGGGGGAGTGGGAAAAAGGTTAGGAAAGAGAAAAGAAAAAAGAAAAGAAAGAAGATGATTGGTTGAGAGAAGAGAGAGAGCAAGTAAAAGAGGAGAAAGAGAAAAGGGAGTGCGGCCAGGGACTACCGCAGTGCGGCCTCCACCGCACCCAAACCGCAGTGGAGGGGCGGTGTTCATGCTGAGGTGGAAGGAGATTGCGGTAGAGACCGCAGCCACTCCCCCAAGCCTAAGGGGACAAAATTTAGTAATCAATCTATATTTATTCCATAAGTTCAGACATTGGAATCTTTTTATATTTTCTTTTTATTGGTTGATTAACTTTTTGAGAAAAACACAAATATATGATACTTATTTATAAAATATTTTCCATTATTTTGTCAAAAAAAAAAAAAATGAATATATATAAATTATAATTTTCCATCTTTTTGTAATTATAGGGTCCACACAACTGTCTTTGATTTATTAATTTAATCCTTAAAATGAGTAACCACAGTAATTGTATTTTTGCTCCATAGATATCTAAAAAATATCACAAAAACGTGAAAAAGACAAACGTAACAAAAAATGAATTTCCACATCATATCACTGTATTGTTCTGTTCACTATTTGGATAAAACCGAATTGTCCAATTGGACTATTTGGTTCGGATATTCGGATTTTTTGGATTGGTTTTCAACAAAACCGAATTATTATTTTGGATTTCGGATTGGTTTTGGTTTATAAAATAAGAACGTCCAAAAAAACCGAATAAACATTTCTTATTTATTTATTTATAATATATATCTATAGTTATTTATTAATTTTGTAATTTATTCTTTCAAATAGGTTCAAAATGTTTCACCCGATAAAAAAACATTAATATGCATTTTCTCTCAAAAGTTTTCTATCTATAAAATATTTAACTATAATATACCTTCTTAGTAGTTGTTAATAAATTTCAAATCACAACTAAATAATTTGTTTTCACTTCTTGTGTAAAATTAGGTAATATTATAATTATATGTCGTTTAAAATGTTTAGATTTTTGAAAACCGAATTATAAAAACCGATCCAACGGAATTGTAATTGGATCGGATAGGATCGGATTTGAATTTAGTTTGGACTATTCAGATCCATGTTTTGAAAACCGAAATCAATTTTGGATTTACTTGATTTGATCGGATCAAACTGATCCATCCAAACGAACACCCCTAATTACAAATATGTTACTGTAAATTACAAATTTTGTCCTTGCGCTTGAGTGAAAGCTATGAATTTGGTCCTCAAAAGATTCTTGTATGCATACAGCACATCCTTATGTTAAATAGTGCCGTTAAATATTTTTATAAAACTATTTTCAACCCCTGCAACTTTGCAAAGTAAAACTATTGTTTTTCTATAATTAATATTGCTAACTTGCAATACTTAGAATAATAATCATGCTCCCACTAACATGATGATTATTTTCTTACCAGCATAACACTTATACTCCCACTAGCTTTGACATGTATTCAGAAAACAGCTGAACTTACAGAAAACAATGTTCATTGAATTTCTTAAGTTCATATTTCTAATACTTGATGCTTTGATAAGCCTTTATCTAAGCTTCTTAAATTTATACACCTTTCCTTAAATAGCTCACATGTGTGTCTAAACAATTCAGAACTTATAGCGATAAGTCTTAATTGTTCAAACTAATTGCCATTTCTTGCAATTCGAACTATGAAGAGGGATGCCGTAATCATAATCGAATTCGAGAATGCAATCTTCACAACAGCCATTTCCTTAAAATCTCTCTTAGTGAAAGCGTTTCCTCACAATCATTTTCATGAAAGGAGAGAAACCTTATGACACTTAGATTTTATGGTGTATGTGTTCCTATCCTTGTGAATTTGACATAATCATAATCATAATATTCATGAAAAATTCAACTCATATGGATTGAACTTGTTCAATCTCAATTTCTTGACTCATGGTAGCACGAATGCTCATCATTGCTTCCAGGTTGTTAAGCAGCTCACCTACACACATCAATGTCCTTTCCATTGATCAAGGTGCTTTGCTTTTATGCAGTCAAATGAGAACTCACAGAACTCACATACATAGTTAACTTAACTGGAATGACACATAAACAAATTTATGTCAACACGATAGGTTATAAACCTCAAGTCGTGTGCTAGTGATGATTAACTAGGTTTATTCTTGATTTGTTCCTGATACTATTCAAGACCATTAAGATTCCCACTGACCTCTTGACATATAAGATTCTCTTGTCAAGAAACATTCCTTAACAAAACAAATATTCAAGAGTTAGTGCGAAATCCTATCAAGGTTAACACTTCACTTAATTGGTTCTGGTTGGTCTTTGTCTTCTTCAAGACATCACAACTTACCAATTTCAAATGTGCAGGAATAAGAAAACTTTTTCAAACTCCACATTTGATAAGTGTTATAAACCTACTAAAAACTTGTCACTCAATGTCACAATCTTGGAGTATGACTCTAAGATTTGATTTTGGAACGAAGTATGAATCATCTCTTTGATTTAACTATTTCAACAATTCATGATTCCTCTTCTTAGCCACATAAATGAACTAAGATGTCCTTAGAGGATCAATACGGTTTCACAATCATTAAGATGCTCATAAAAACATGATACAAAGATACTCTCCCATCTTTTCAGATTGGAGAAATCTTTATCTTTCTGCCTAATTGATTCTTCTTATTCTTTCTGCCATTCGTTGAAACTTTTTCAATAACTCAAAATTATACTTAATCTTATAAGTATAACCACATTTACTAAACTTTTAGTAAATCATGACGAATAGTCTTATTGTTCTTTGTGGTGGACTTGACCAGCGCACAACCAAGTGTACCCGATCCCTAGTCCTTCACTTGACTCACAGTCTTATGTGAACAAGGAATTAGTCTTGATTTCCCAAATATGAAAGTTTTTCATTCATCATACAATGCAGGTTGCATGATTCCAAGTTTCTGTCCAACAGAAACTTGGGCGATGAGAAACTCTCCCTATTTGGTAAACTTTTGACACTGCCACAAATAGCAAAAATCAAGAATCACATCCATTTCAACATTGCTAAAAATAGAAATACACAAACATCAATTTTCACACATGCCATTGCAAGGATAAATAAATAAGATAAAACTCAAAATTTATTTTATTGCGGAAAAATTTGTCCTTACAATGCAATTCAACTGAAAACTATGCTATTATATATTACTTAGCAATCTATCCTAACTCTAGAGTAGCAGCTCAAAAATCCGATCTTCGAATCGATGCGATCGAAATCCATTTCTTTAAGATCAGATTCAACACGCTTCTTCCTTAAGCTTCCCCTCTTTTCTTCGATCTTACAAAACATCAAAATGTAATCTTATCACATCATGTATCGAGAATCAAAAAAATAGGAACTTATAGAGTTAGTTAGTGGATTTTACCTGAAGTAGAGCCATACGTATTGACTCTCCCATCTCTTAGATATCTCAGGTAGACAGGGCAGCTTCGTCTCCAATGCCCCTTCTTTTGGCAGTAAAAGCAGATAGACTTCTTTGGTATAGCACATGGGACAATCTCAGCCTTTTCTGGACTTCCAATATTTCCAGTTTCCATTGAAGTTTGGGAGTTTGATTTACCAATCAAGTTTGCTTGACCAGTGCGCCAAATCATTGCTGATTCAGCAGCAACAAGCAAATAGGTCAAATCAACGAGGGTCACGTCGTGATCCATCATATAGTACTCTTTTACAAACTCACTATATGATTCAGGAAGTAGCTGAAGAACCCAGTCAACAGCCAACTAACCTGAAAACTCGACACCCAACATATTTAACCTATCAATGTGTGACTTCATCTCTAAGATGTGTGCACACACAGGTTTCCCATCTTCATGTTTACTTGCCAAAAGGGCTTCAGTGAGCTTGAACTTTTCAAGCATTCGTTCACGTGGGTTAGGGAGAACAATAGGAGGAGGTGGAGGAAGTGAAGCGTGATATCTTGTTCCTCGATCAAATCGTCGAACATCATCTTCAAAGGATTCAGGAATACCATAGTTGTTTGACATCTACAAAACGGGAGAAAATTCAATTCAGTTGATAAAAGTCCTTGATATAGCACCCAAATTAAATATCAAGGCTAGGATCCAACACAATACTCTACAACCTAGAAGAGGGATGCCCTAATCTAGTTGCAGAATATTTGAAGGTAG